GTAGCAGAAAAAAGGGGAAAGATGATAAAAGCACCTCAGCAAATATGCAGAGGCCGTCATTACCAAACGAGTACAGATACAAATCAGAGCCTTCCCCCCAATGTGATTAGTAAATATACATGTAATTGTCGGGGCCAATTATCAGAAAAATGAGATCAGTAATTACACCGGGAGAAAATTAAGTAGAACTCTTATTAGTGCATTGTTTCCTACTCAACAAAAAAGGAAAGAGAGCGAGAGAGGGAGAAGGGAAAAATACAATTACGCCAAGTAAACAAGGAGCAGGCGGCAGACAGGAGCGGCACAAACGGCGCCATGTTCATGTATCTTTCCTGCGACGTACAATCACGTCGCCTGCCACCCCTTGCCTGGCTGTTTTTTAAATCCCCAAACAGACGAGCATAATCCGTGCCTTGCGCTGTCTGGGAGGTGAGCAGAAGTTTGCATGTTGGGGGGGAACGAGACACATTCGGGGCTGATAGAAGGGACACCACAGCTCTGGTCACGCCTGCTTGTAATCTTCAGTGCTTGTTGAACCCAAGACGAACCAGCCGGGCCCCCATCCCCATGTACTACTTGTGTGCACGACACCTCTTTCTCCTTCTAATTGTAACTACTGTAGGTGCTACCATTCCACCTTGGTCAAAATATTCAAGGGTTTTAAGAATATAACTACAGCTGTTGTCTAGTTTTTGTGTTGTGCTCAAGGCTCAGATGATTTTCAGGGTATTTCTTTTGCAGTCTTTTGTCTTGCACACTAGGTGCAACTTCCTTCAAAACCCCCCAGCTGAGACCTCGCCACGCCGCACGGTGAAAAGACTCGCTTTCTCCACAGCACAAGGCCCAGGTGACAGGTTTAAGGAGACCGGCCCCTGCCGTTTTGGTTTCGACGCGTTCCCGGTTTTTTTTTAAATCTCATCTGCTTGTTTAATGACGCCGGGCGGCGCAGGGGCCGGCCAGAGCGGGCCGCTCCGCGGGGCGAGAGGCGCACAGAGGCCACCGGAGAGCCGGGCGGCCGCCTCTTTCTGCTGCCCTCCCGCCGCTTAGCAAAAGCGAGCAGGATTACACCATGGAAATCTCCCTCCCTTCAGACCCCGTGCGATAATAGCTTTCATTCTCTCTCTCTCTCTCTCTTTCTGCAGCCTGAAAGTTTTAATTTAGTGCGCGCTCGTATTAAGCACTTGGTCAGCTCGAATGGAGGTGGCGAGCGCATTGCTCACGCGCCGCCAGGATACAGGGAAGGGCGAAGGAAAAAATAGTTTGAGTGATGCCTTTGCCTTGTGAGTAATGAACAGTTCAGGGAGGTCAACCCATTACAACTGAAACCGTTTAATTATTAATTACGCACAATCTATAAGCGAAAGGACAAGTTCAGTATGTTTAATGTGAGGCGGCGCTGCCGCGTCCCTCTCCTGGCATTTCGTTATTAGCGCGTGTCAGCAAGGAGCTGAGGCAGAAAGGAGAGTCGTGCGCGCGCGCGCACACACACAAATACACAAACACACAACTGAGAAACACAACCCGATGCAAAGACTTTACACCGCAATGGTTTTCAGATAAGTCCCTTCTAAGAAAAAAATGTTTTACTCTAACTAAAAATGTAATCTCCTTTGGAGATTTAAATTTTTGTTGCGGTCGTATTGTTTTAGTTAATCATTTTGTGTGTATATTGTAATTTTTTTTTTTCATTATTTCCTGAAGGCTTTTTAAAAAAAAAATCAGAAAAATTTAGATTTTTTGTTTTATTTTGCATTACACTTCGTGGCATACCAATTGTCATTTCTCATAACACTATGCATATTGTCTTTTGGAATAAATGTTTTTACATTATTATTATTTGCAAAAGCTTATGAATAGGACAGTGACTGTCGTGAGTACCCTGGAGAGTCGACCATTCTGGTAGCTAACATGGGGAAGGATTGATAAGGAATCCATTCAGAACAGATGACACAAAAAAAACGAAAACTTGTGTCAGGTCAGTAAGTTTGACTTTGTAATTACACATAATTGTCCAAGAACCACACTTTAACTGCACAATTACACGTCCAATTAAAATATTATTCATTACCTCTTAAATAAACTGTTAGGCAAATTCTATTAAACTCCGATAATTGAGCGAGTTTAATTATGAGACGTGTGGGGAAATTTAGGAGAAAAGTACGGGATGTGAGGTGACCTACATTGGCACAGATATTTTGTTTTAAAAGTGACCTCGTTCCAGAACCACAGCCCAGAATAACTCCTAAAGTCACTTCTTAAAGTGAAGAAGAGCCACTTTCAGGAGCCTAGAAGTCTTTGTAGACACGAAGAACAGCTCATCATAGTCTTCTTCGGTTCAAGTCTGAGCTTTGCTCACAGGAAGAACGGGAACACACTCAGCGTAACCAGAATAAAACTGCAACAAAAACAGATTTAGAAGTGGTCTTGAGATGTATACTGTATAAAGTACAAGCTGATGAAAGCTAAGAAGAATCCAGACTGTGTTAACTCAATTGTGCACTGCACTGCCTGGATATTCAATCTTTCCACTTGAAGAATTCGATCAGTACAGACACAAACTCCCCAAATTGCCAGTCGTTAAATTCCAAATTATGGATTTGAAAAATAATTTAAGTGGCATTTTGCCTTCTATTATACACACCCACAGGTACAAAATGTTTTGTCATCAAGGCGCTTCTGCAAGTCTCTGCTGAGCCCAAGTGCTGCCACGTGAAAGTTTTCATCACCTATCTGGAGTCTCAACCAGGGACTATCTACAGGTGAGCGATTTAACCGGGAGGGAGAGAGAGAAAATCGAGTGTTATTTATGCACCGTACAGTGAGCACCTAGGCTCCTCGCTGCAGTTATTACAGTACGCAGTGGGCCAGGGTGTGCTGGTGTTCCGCAGTCCCCACACTCTACTGTCAATTACAACTGAGGGAGCCCAGCGGGAGCTTCTCCTCCACAGAAATAGCTCACACACCGCAGAGGTCCTGGAGAAATCCAGCACTCCGGAACACAGGAACATTCCAGCACTGGAATACTAGAACCTCACCCAGCCGGAACCCCAGAGCATTCAGGCACTGAACGACTGTAGTGTTGTAGCCTTGGAATACAGTCACTCCTAGAACAAACACTTCTGACTCAAGTGAGTGCTGTGTTTAAACCGGCACCAAAATGGCAGACTTCGCAAGCCTTTACAGCTACAAACTGCATTTGTGCTGAATTCAGGAGGAATGTCCATCAACCTTTATACTGCACATATTTATAACAGAAAACGGAGTATGTTATATTATGAGAAACATCAGAAACTGCAGGTTCAAGGCTTTCAATAGGAACTACAGTCACTTGCAAATAATATAAAAGGCACAAAGTTCACGGACTTCAAAAGATGCAAAACCTGCCAGGCAACGTTACCAAGGAGAAAACGAATGCAAATTTGACACAGTTGCACACCAGTTCATTACAGACTGCTGCTCTATATCTGCTTGCAGGTTATCTTTGACTTATCAAAATCGCTTGAGATTGGACTTGAAGAGAAACAACAACAAAAAGAAAATAACGGCTGCCAATGTCAAAGCCACTCTGTGTGACCTGGCGTGAGAGGGAGGGGGCCGTGCAGTCGTTCAGCTCTTACAAGAGTGGCAGCCTGGGATCTCAGCATCTGACAGCTTCAGTGCAGGAGATCAAAGCCAGTGTGACACAACCTAGCACAGCAACTGTAACAGGTCAGTGCTGCTACTGTGGAGTTGCTGTCTTGGCAGGAGAACTACCTTGCTCTTGGCCTTCGCACCCAGAAGCAGGTTTTCTTAAGATTCCTTCTGCATAAACCTAACTGCCCAGCTCTATGAGAGAGCATTAAAGAAGCCACATCCAACATTTTGTCTTTGTTTCTACTGCAGATAAGGGCTCTTTGCACGAAACATTTTTCGGCCAGCATCAATGCCTTCATTTTTTAGAACTAACCTTAAAGAACCAGTCTTTTCTGGAAGAGAGGATTGAACGTCATGTAGTCCCGCAGCTCAGACAAACCCACTGCAGTAAATTTAACGTCTTACCCTGCCAAGCATGTGATGTGCGTGCCACCAGGCTTCTGACAGAGCTGCAACTTGGGGAGCGAAAGTTTTTGCAGCACAAAAGAAAATGTGCTATACAGAGCACTGAAGAGAACGGCTCTAGCCTGGGCTATAATTGACCAGAGGTTCTGCAAGCAGAAATGAGTGACAGAACAATAATTTAAATGCGGGGGCTAAGCGGTTTTGCTTAAAAATTTACAGCAGGTGGAGCACAGCTTCAAACAGGCCCACGCAGAGCAGAAAACTGAAGTACCAGTCCAGCCATTTTCCCCATGTTGAAACCAAGCAATAACGGACTTCTGGAGGAGAGAGTGGGGTGTATGAACTAAAACCCCACTCGGCTGAGGAACTGGGGTGAAGCGATCTTTAACCCCCCCTACCTGCTCCTGAGCTCCCAAGCCTGCGTGCCCCCCTCCACCCCCACCCCAAAACCACACAACAAATATGCGTGCACCCTCTTGTATCCCAGTCTGGCCCATTGTGCTGCTCTGGCTGAAGGCCTGTGTAGCAGGCGCTGTGTCTGTGGACTGCCTGCTACCGTGCTTCATTAGGAAACAAAATATAAGCTTTCCACTCCATTAGGAATGACTTTAGGAGCGAAAGCACATAAGACGCCGACTCACCTCATCAACAATGCATTGCAATAACTGAAGAGGCTTGAATGGGAGAGAGAGAGAGAAACAGTATTAGCCTATATGCAATATCTTTACAGTAGAGTGGCGAGAAAAATCATTAATGCAATAAAATGTAGTAAGATTAATCAAAAGCATCAAACTCTTAGGAAAACATTGCAGGCTGGAGTGTTCTATTATTTCTAATGGTACCTAATCTAATACTGGCAGTTAAGGGCTTGTGTTGTGTTTTTTTTCCTGCAAAATGCAATTTGCTAAGTTTAAAGGGAGGCATCCAAGCGTGTGCAGGATGCAGCCGTCAGGAACGCAGAAAGTGATTTTTTTCCCCCCCGTTTTCTTCGAACTCATAAAGCTTACCATTAAAGATCCCTGGTTTTTCTGAATCTGAAAAAAAAGAAAGGCAATATGTAATTAGCATGTCATAATCAAAACGACTCACTTGGACACATTATGATCACTGAGAGAAAATTATTGCATCGCTGGTGGCAATTTGCGGGCATGTGTTAACACCATTTACATAATGAAAATACACAAATGTTAATAGCTTGCTTCTCATTTATAGAGGGAAGTCAGCAGAATGCTAATTTCACAGTACACTTTTTACTACCCTCCAGGTTGTATGAAAATGAGGGTTGAAAAGAAAAGTATATATTATATATAAATAAATAATCCATTTGAGAATGCTGTTTACCAGGCTCAGTTATAAATAACGTTTCTGCACTGCTTCTCTGACAACAGCCATTCCCAAGCTGCAATTGTTGAATGTGAAGCTATGAAAAGAATTTCAATTTAAATTAAACTCCCATTTGTTTGAATTTGAAATTAAATCATACTTAGGAATTAGCATTTTGGGAATCATGCCAATATATGCCTATAATCTTGTACTTTTAAGGTTTTTTTTCTACATGCTTTTATAATTATACAGTGGCAATGACTTTCGAATGGCTGAATTGCTACTTGACCCTAAAATTGTTTTCAGTTAAAACAAGAGGAACGTAAACTGTGATCCCCCAGGACAAAAGATAAGACCCTCAATGCTCTAAGCCCTTAGCATTGTGCCCCTTAGACAAGACACCTCAGTCCTGGTGATATTTTACTTCCAGGCATTCCCTACTGAGCCCACATTCTGCAGGCACAACACCTCATGTCACCTCATAAAGCTCTGAGCATATTTCCGAACTGGGATTACATCATCCTGAGTTCATGGTCGTAAGTAGTTGTGCTTTGGGGGCCAAAGGTCAATTTGCTTGGACACGTCATAAGTTTTCGATGGATAAGGTGGACAAGAATGGATGACCTTCCCTTTTAACTCGGCGTGAGCCCCACAAGTAGGTTACTGGCTGAAGGGGTAACACACAGATACAGAACCTTTCGTCACATCACAGGACTGAGGTTGAATACTGTTCTCCACCAAGCACAACATGAACATTCGGCTCCACACAGTTACTCACATGAACTTTCACAAGGATGGAGGATGAGTCAAAATCCCAGCCATTCTACTTTTCCAAGCTGATGGCCTGTTTTGTTCCAACTCATAAGAATATAGTAGTAAGAACTAAACTATAAAAACTATAAACTATAAAAAGTAACATCAGCTTCTGTGGTGTTGAGATGCTGAGGGACAGGCAATGAGTGATGATGTCCATGGTACTGGAGAAATGGACCTAGTGAACAAGACCAAGGGACTACACTCCACAGCACCAGTGAGCAATCGTTGCTTCTTTCCCAGCAACTTTCTAAAGGAGGATTTGTTTAAGTCAGAGAAACACTTAGAAACAACGTATTTTCATTCCTGATTCTTAATCTTCTTATAATTAATAATCTAACTGCATAACGTATGGGAGTAGGCTGGAGAGGCTGGGGTACAACTGTGGGAATTGTTGAGAGTGCATGTCTTCTTTTCATTCTTATCATCTCCCAAGCTCGAAATGACAAAGCGTGATAACACTAGCAACACTTGTTTGGTAATGTGCTAGTGCGTATTCACTCACTAATGTGATGCTTCCACGTACAAGGCCCTCAGCTGTAGTAACACTGCAGCAATGCCATGCCTGAGTGACAGAGAGAGGGAAAGCTGGGAGTTTTATGGACAGTAACGCTGCACTGTGACGCGGCCACTGCAGGGCCAAACCACTCACTACCACTGAACTCCAGCGCTGTCTCCACCAACACCCACATCAATGCAAACCAATGAGGTCCGAACTCAACCAATCTGGTCCTTAAAAGGCATGGGTCATCGAAGACACTGGTCCAGTGTATCATCCAGGACATGCAGGACACCATCGGTTTCAAACGTTTCCCCCTGGGGAGAGGCTACCAGTCAATCAAGACCAAAACTGCCCAACATCTCTTCCCCATGGATGTCGCCCAGCTTTACTACAACAGGTTAATACAGGATGTAGTCTGTATGTAATTGTGGATCGGTGCATGTTCTTAGTGTGAAGTGTATATGCATTGTACAAGTATATATATATGCAACTGCATAAACGTACATTTTGTAATTTGATACTGACAAACAGTAATGCGTATACAAGTGTAATGCGCTTGGCAAATAAAGTGATTCTGATTTTGCTGAACACCGTTAAAATGAGGGGAAGAGAAGGTTATTCTGACATTTGCCAACTGCTGAATAACATCACTGATCTGCCAGTAGCTTTTCAGAGTGTGAGAAGGAACAGTCCTGTGGTCCACATCGCTACAATCCTACACTAAGCTGTTTGTAGGCATGTTTCTAACTTTATTGTGCACCTAGTTACAGAGGGATGGCTGACTTGAACACCACACACAATCCATGCCATGCGTGGCTTTCAAGTTTTCTTGCGTGAAAACTGGGTTCAGAAGATGAAACATTGTTACATCCAAAACTTATAAAAACTCTTATTTGATCCTGCCTTAAGAGTTTGAATCAGGGATCAGGTTCAGCTGATCCAACACACACTGATTGACTGCGACTCCAACTGGTTGATTCCAACTGGTGCTGATCTCAGGGAGCGTTTCAACAGGAAGGACAGAGCGAGGAGCCTGAAGAGCCACTGTGAGCTGTGCAGATATTAAATGAGTACGAAATCCTCCCTGGCCATCACACAGTAACTCTTTCATAGCAATAAAAAGCCCTGTATGTATCCAGCACATCCTAATTCAATCAGTTCTCCTTCAAAGCATGATTGTGCAGGGTAATGAATTGCTCATTCTGCTTGCCTTTGACAGTGCGGCAGTGCGGTTATTGATTCATTCTCTCAATTAAATAAAGCTTTACTCTCTCTTCTCTCGGTAAATACCTAGAGACCCCCCACCCGATGCATTATCCATTTTGTCTGAATCAGACACATTATCAGCCAGTTTTCTAAATTAATTCATTTAGCTGCGATAAAATAACTTTTATAATTGCACACAGCACAGAAGCCTGAAATTTACTTTAAAAGATTAATTTACGGCACGGCAGCAATTTTCCTGAACATACTGAAATTTGTCAGCTGCAGTACCAGTTTGTTCAACTCAATAAAGCACTTTATTAAAACGCAGCATTAAAAAAAAAAAGAGATGTTAGGTGACTGTTGCATGAACAAATGTGCTTGTTTCAGGAGAACTGTATGTCTTTCCAAAGCAATGAAGCACTGCCCCCTCCCCCTGGCTCAGTTCCAGCCAACATGGAGATACACAGAGCTGTAAAATGTGACCAGAGCAAAACTCTAATAAGAGAACGCAGACAATAACTGGAATCGGAAAACGCTGTATTCTAGAACAGGCAGCTGACAGTTCCGACACTGGTGGAACATACCGGGCTGTTTATAATTCTGTCCGATCCTCAGATCTGGAGTACCTGTGGAACACCGCCTGTCAATCAGAGCACAGCACCATCTGGCTGCAGAACACGAGGAAGGGGCCTAACGCGCCGCACTGAGCCCGGGTCCCAGGCACACCGACTGCAGAAGAGGCACGGGTCTTTAAGTAAAACTGAGTAAAACTGACCGCGCAGAACTCCTGCTCCATTGCCAGTGTCCCCAGCAGGACACTGGGGGTGGAAGTAATTTATGGTTAAAGCTGGTTCATCCTGTGACATTTTTACTTCTTAATCAATGCCATTGGGTATGGAAAAAAAAAAGACTTTGGGCAGCAAGGGCACTCGATTCCAGTCTCCATGGAGATAAGTGCGACAGAAAGTCAGAAAGAGAGGAGCGAGGAAGAGGGAGGGAGGGAGCCGGCGCGCTCATTGTTAACGAAATGACAATCCTGGCAGTGAAATGAAATGCGCCTCTCCGCGCCCCGGCTCCAGTCAGCGCTCATCCCTCTCTCGCAGGCAGTGGAATTGCGCTCTGCCCTGCCTCCCGGGGCTCAGATTTACCGCTGACCCAGGGCACGCCCTCCCCCCCCTCCGTTGACAAATCTTATCTCTGCATTTTCCCAGCTCCTGGAAATCCCATGTCTCCCCACCCTCCCCATCTCATCTTCTTCTTCTTAACTAGAAAACGAGACCCAGCGTGGAGGTTTCTGCTCCGGATCTTTTAAGATTCATGGAAAGAAATCGAACTCATGGACAGGCACGGAATGTTAAGGCCCCGCGGATCGTGAGTGAAATCGCTCTCCGCGCAGTGTGCTGCTGATTAAGACACTGTTTTTTCCACACTTCTCCTTCACCACCCTTTTCCGCTTACCGGCTCCGAAAGTCAAGAGGCCTGAGCAAAACCTCCTGAAGATTCTGGCACTCTGCAAATTGCATAGACTTAGGAACAACTTCACTGATGGCACTGACGTACAGTATGGAGGAGGACAGTGGCGTTAAAAGATATTTGCTGAGCTATCACTACTGGTGCCACCTCAAGAATAAGTAACCGAGTGGACACGGTGGCTATATCTTCGATAGAACATTCTAAAAACATGTGCTACATGTGATATCATGGTTTTTACTGGCCTCTACCACAGTACTGTGAGCTCAGTTTACATTCTGAACCTAAACACTGCCCAGGGTGAAGAGAGGCTTTGTTCTGTGCCATGTTGATCCTGTCAAGCACTGGACTCCCCTTGGGAGATGACAAATGTCTTGCCATCATGTTTCCAGAGCTCCCTAGTAGAGTCTGATGGAGTCTCCCCATGATCCACCTATAGGACGCAACAGAGAGCTCCTGACATTTGTTAAAAGAAAACACTCTTCTTCAATGGCTGGTGCCACCGCCTGTCATTTTCGCACCGATAAATGCCTTTTAAATAACTTTTTTGGTGGAGCAGAGGTTTGACTACTTAGTCATGTCAGACAACAGCACACTGTGCAAAAAGATTCACAATTCAAAATGTAGATGATTTTACTGAGACACATAGCTTCTGCGCTAGGAAACATAAACACACACATATCTACACTGCATACATATACACACTTGTACACACACTGCACATACGGTGCAAGAAATAGAGAAGAAAAGCACTCCATCATGAAATATGGGGATGTCTTATATATTTTACACCCATAAATGCAGGCAGCATAGAAACAGCACATAAAGCAAGTTTAACATACAAATTTACTTTAACACACAACTCAGTCAAATATATTTAAAAACAGCTTTCGGAGCCCCTTGGAAATCATCATAAAAAAACAAAACACGAAAAAAAACACAGCCAACAAAACAAAGGCAACAATCAATCAGTCGGCAGTGTGCTGGCGGCTGTATAAACATCAGATCAAGTCTGGTGTCTTCAAGGATTTTTAGAGCGAACCGTAAAAAACTCCATTAACTCCTGACAAAGAATGCAAATTAATCACAACATGGGGTGAAATGAAATTAAAGACCCTTTTCTAATCAATGACAAGACAGGATGAAAACGCTCTCCACTCCTTCTCCTTTCCCCCCTTCCTGCTTCCTCTACTGATCCAGCAGCTGAATGCTCTTACTTTAAAACCACAGAACCTCCCTGCCCACCCCCTCATGTCTGCCCAAACCCTGCAACCTGAAAAGGAAGGTGAGAGGAACTAACAGTGATCGTCTGCCCTCTACTCACAGATCCCCCCCCCATCACACACACACACCCTCCTCCTCCCCCCCGGGCCCCCTCCCTCTCTTCCCATCACCCTCTCAGCTATCTGCTTACAAGCCCACAGATTTGCAAAACACACTAATCATGCGAATCTCAGGTGCATCCAATTTGTTATTCGCACTCTCCCATGCCAAAGAAGAAAGGCTGGCGCAGACAGATGCACCAGGATCCTTAAATGACAGCTCTGGCCTGCGGAAGTAGGATCGCTACAGCATCGTCTCGTACAGCCTGCAGGTGAAGTGTCTGGAGCACCATATGGAGCAGGGAAAATTAACAACAAGATGAAAATCACTGCGGCAGCAGGGAGTCTGAGTTTTCTCCCTCCAAATGAAATTTAAAGATGTAGAAAGAGAAGTAATAAATTAATGGGGTGTGAAAACATTCAATGCTTTACAATACCAGCGGCACTATTTGCACAGAAAGTTATTTTTTTTACTTCGGGTCATTTTGTCATAATTTATTAATCAAAGCATGGCTTAAGTACACTGGAGGACGGCGCACTTTTCCCCGCATTATAAATATCCATTCATTTTTAAAAAACCTCACCCCACTACAGTGCAGGCAGCCATGCGGCCGCGCCAGCGTTCAGCCTGACGTGTTGGCGCCTTCACACGGGCCAGACAGGATGGCCCCCCGCTCGCAGGCTGTGGCGCGGCCGGCACGCCGCACAGCGCGTCACGGAAGCGGGCAATGTCAGCTCGCACGGCAACACGCCCTCCAACTGAGTACCGCGTGCAAACCTCCTAATCCCAAGGAAAAGCTCACAGAAAGGCAAGAGGAAATCTAAGATCGTGCAATATTGCTCATGGCAAGCAGGTTCGGGGACTGAATGTCACGTGAGGCTAGATTCCAATGTGTGAACGGCACGGCCTGTCTGCTTGTGAAGATACTGAGCTTAACGGCAAGTGTTCTGATGGAGACGCGCTGTAACTCAGTCTTTTGAATCTTTTAGGGAAAAAAAGGACTAAATCCGGGCTGGAGCTTAATTTTAACACTTGGTAATCTCTTATTCTAAATCTTGCACAGAATATCATCTTTTGTGCACAGCAATGCTGGGTTTAATGAGGATCTGAAAACTCTGTGAGGTCTATGACAGGTGTGGACCAAGTCCCTGTTCGCCTGCATTCGAAAAGGTGCACCGCGGGCCTCCCTCAGCAGACGACAGCTCGCCTTTCAGATTGCACCTCGCCCTGCCTCACTCTGGCCTGCGGTCTCTGCGCTCCTTCCAACAGAGCCCTCTCGTCTGCCTGGAGGGACCAGCTCTGACGCTGGGAGAACAGGACACAATGCCGAACACAAAACAGAGTAGGCACAGACCCGCCAGGACCCAAAAACCCTGCCTTCTGCACCAAAAGTCAACGAAAACAAGTAAAAAAAAAAAACAGCAGGCTGATGCAGACATTCATACAAAAGACTGATCTAATCACATATCCATGCAAACCACTGTCATGGACAAGCCTTCACTGTAATATGCTGGAGCTCTCCATTACATCTGCCATACAGACAATTACAAGTGTGCTCAGTTGGCGCAGCTCTTCTCAGTGAGATGACATAGGAAGCGCTGTCTGCCAACCCATTTTTCACTATCTGTCTCCCTACTGTACGAAAGACGGATGCCTTAATATCTGTTACATGTAAAAGTGTCCTTTCCTACTCCGTGCATTTTCTGCAGAGATTACACTGAAGTGTTAGACATAATGGATTACCGGGAGTCTCTGGAAGGTTAAACAACGGTCTGATTTTTAAGAGCGGGGAGAAAATGGTGAAATTGAACGCCCGAGGTCAAGGACTCGGGTCCCCTGAGGTGTTTATGAGAATGCCTTATTTTCCTGCAGCTGAGTGATAAATGCTTTGTGAAGACACCCTTTAGTGCACTCTTTTTTGATGTTATTAATACATTTATTTGGTGGGGATGGGGGGGGGGGTAGGGGTGGGGATGGTATTTTAAATGTTAATCAGAGCAATTGCACTGTGTTGCTATTTTAATTTAACGGTCTCCTGCATTTTTAATTAGTCCAGTACCTGTGACGAGGGGAGGGGAAAGCAGGGGAGTGGGTGCCGCTCTCTCCCAGAACTCGCTGGCTTGGCTACACCTGCCCGGCTCCCATCGATGGTACACCCCGAGCCCCGAGCCCCGAGCCCCGAGCCCCGAGCCCCGAGCCCCGAGCCCCGAGCCCAGGCCACGCTTCCACGTGAACAAAGCAGATCGTTGGAATGGGACACTGGGAGGGTGCGGATCACTTTATCCCCGACTGCAGATTCCAATAACATCAGAGAGCACCACTCAGCTGCACGGAAGCACCAGCTCTTAGAAAGCAGAGCTGTATGGCTGGGTGAAGAGTACACTAGCCTCTTTATTTCTAAACTGTTCCAATTTGCTACCTCAAAAAGCGAGGTGATCTTCCTCCCGGCCCCATTGCTAGTTTATCAAGTCAATTCTGCTTTAAAGTAAAGCGACAACTGATAAGTAGCAGTCAACCTTGTAATCTGACATAACCTTCTGAATGTGCTCGATTATAATTCCTCTAAAAATGTTTATTGCTTTCAGCTGTAATCGCATAGGAAGCATGATTGTTCCATGGATGTTATGAGGCACCTGGAAGCTCACAGTAGATTAAAAATGTTAAATTGAAAATGTGACTTGTCTGTAATCAACAGCTGGAGATTAACCCTGATAACATCCTTCTGCATTTACACTGGACACTGAGTCAGGAGAGCAGATTACACAAAAGGGAGCCCAGAGAGAGGAGGAGGAGAGAGGCAGAGAGAGAGAGAGGAAAAAAACGCATTCGTACTGATTATTCAATAACCATGTTTGTGTCACAGCCACATAATCTAAAACGTGCATACATTAGTTGGTGTAATAATACAATCTGGATTTGCATAATAATAGCGAGTTAATAGAGGCTTGAAGAGCGCAGACCAACAGCACTTTGAAATGAGACATGCCCCAGGCTGCAGGGCTCATGCACACAGAGGGCACCAAGGGAACAGCCAGGGATCTTCACGCCATTACAGCATGCTTAAAATGACACAAAAAAGACCACCTTTCCCCAGTTGTCTCAGACTAGGAAAGTATTTTTTCCTGAGTCTATAGGCTTTGACCCTCAAGGGAGACATTATTAATTGTGTGCAGAAATGGCCCACAATCCAGGCACTCTGTGTCTGGAACACAGACTGCTGAATTGTGCTTGGGAAATACCGCAACCGAGGCATACAGCCGCACACAATTACACAGATAACACACAGACTTCAGTCCTCAATTAATGACGATCAGACCCATCCACAAACGCATCAGTATTTCTGCCCAACAAGGGAGCACTGACTGAAACTTTGTTCAGCCGGAGCAAACAGAGATAAAAAGGAAAGTCCCTTATATAGCATCTCTGGTTCAGGTATAATAATAGTCCTCTTTTTATTTATTGACAAATGCGGGGAAAATGAGATTGATGACATGTTTATGAATTAGCTTTGTTTAACACAGGTGTTGTTCCAGCCGAGATGGACTAGCGATTAAAACAAAGAAAGCTGACTGATGCGCGGCACCTTGAGAACTGTGGTGAAGAGAGGTGCAATGCAGATATCTAAAATGCATCCTATGGTAGACTGGGGGAGGACCTCCGGAGGTGCTTGGGATAATTTCACATGATGCTAGAACATTAATTCTTTTTTTATATCTGTCCTTTATATAGTCTCCCTCACACCCAAAGCCCTGGGGCCTGACAGTCAGACGAACATACAGTACAGACAGGTACAGAGCCACTCACCTGGGGGTAAGGGAAACTGCCGAGCGCCAGCTGTGGAGAGACCAGAAGCACAATATCAGAGTCCTGCACTGAAACATGCGATCCCGCACACTGACAGGCCAAGCAGGAGCAGAGCACTGTGCAATTACTGCGCTTGGGCTTTCCGACAGTGCCACAGAAGTGATTAACACTTAAACACCGGAGAACAGCTACAAGCCTCCGTATTGATTAGTCAGCACTTAACTGTGGGAAGAAGTGGGAGAAACTAATTCACCTGGTGGGAAAGCCTGAGTTTTCTCAGCTGTTAATTCAATGGTCCTAATCAAATGCTAAAACAACTTTTAACGAAGATGTTAACATTACAGTAGCTTTCAGTGTGTAACAGGAAAACGCTGATCACAAATAGGGAAAAATCAATGCATTAATGCTAACCAATCATTTCTTTTTACCGTTAACAGCAAATAAAGCCATCATCAAATAAACAATTCTGCTGATAGAGGTCTGACCACTGAGCACACACAGACAGCAATGCCTGCCTGTCACAGAGTCACGACTGTAATGACTGCATTCTTGCTTGAAGGCATCTCTGAATCAGAGCTTTTAAGAAGAAAAAACATATTCCGCACTCAGTCAGAATAATATTTTGTTGCCGGTGTCTTCTGTAAGTATTTGCGAACACTATCGGAGAAATACAGATGTGCGTTATATCCTCTGTACCTGTAAGTACCTGTATACCAAGTGTGCTGCATATATATTCTAAGAATAAAAGTAAGTAGCCCAGGTGTGCATTTACTTTCAGGAAGCACTTTAAGAAAACAGAATAAGCTGTGAAATCCCAATAAAATGACAATGTGCAGAGCGCACAGCAATAATCCTGCATGCCATGGCCTGATGGGTAAAGGTGCAGCAAGTGGTGTACCGACTCCTCCTGCACAAACACATCAGAGCCGGAGAATTTAACAATATGAAAAGAGAAGGAGGAGGATGTCCAGAGGGGGCCTGGAGTCACCCACAGAGGCACACCAGACCTTGGCCCTGCGGTGAGAGGTCAAACTCAGGAATCAGTGCTTGTCAATCTCCAGCTCGCACTGACCTCAGGTCAGAGAGAGGTGAAGACAGCAGGGGCGGGGGTGCAGAAACGAGGAAAGGAAATGGAAAGAGGAAAGCACAAAGGGGGAGGGGGGTGGAAGAGGAGAAACTCAGCAGCTGTCATGTGTTTTAGCCCATACATGCATATAGAGACAAAACAAGTGTCTCTAAAGTGCAGAAATGCACATGCCTGTGCCTTATTCTCCATGTGCACTTGTTTAGACATGCATTCTTAAAGCCACGTTGAACAATTTAATCCACCCAGCCACGCGCCCTCCCATGGAGTTGAAAAGATCTACAAACAGCATCACTGTTAGTACTGATAGCAGGGACTAATAATTAGTGGTGTGGCAGGAGACGGCACTATATCTGCCCATGCCCTCACTGCTCACACACAGTGTAATTTTTATGCCTGCTGCATTACAGTCCTAATAGCCATTTCCTTGACAGATTTGTTAGCTAAACCATTGAGAAGCAGAAAAGTTAAGAAAAGCGCCCAATTGTGAACACACAATAGCCTGCAGTAACACTACTGTATTAAACGTGCTTCAGATTTAATGAAGCTGTAATGGGTTTTCTAATTTCTTCCATTTCTGCAGCGCTCCCAGAGAACAGAAGATAGCTTTCATGCTGGAAGGCTATCTGCCTGTTAGTCAAGAATGTCAAGGCAGAACAAGTGGTGTGGACTGTGGAAGAGCAAACTTTAATTCTGCACAGCGCTCTGCTCTGAAGGCCCCCCTCTGCTCAGGTTGCAGAATTGCACGCGACTGCTTTCTTGGGGGACTAAACCCAAACTTTAACCCTTCCTCCCTCCAACCAAAATAACCACAAAACTTGTTGGCATGTTTCGATTGTGTAGGAACAGGAAACCGCTACCAAAAGATGAACCGGCTTTTAATACCAGGTGACAAAACAGCAAATGGAGGTCGGGTCCAAGTTTTCGTTTAATTCATGTGAGGAAGTTGCATGCTCGCCAACTTGAAGGCTTGCACTCAAAATGAAAAGAAGAGCCATCGGTGGTGTGGTCACTCCACGCCTAGTCCGATCTGTGCACTCAAAGGACAACTTCTAAGAGCTTTCTGCTTTGCTGCAAAATGTGCTGTAGTGTTTTTTTATCACTGAATGAAATCCAGCTGAAATTTAAAAATTCTATATATATATATGTGGGGGGGGATAACATTCATAAGGTGTTTCGCTTATGTTGCACTTTGCAAGTTTTCAACGTTATACTTACAGGAAAGAACACCAATGTTTTACCCTGAAACAAAGCAAAATACTTCTCATGAATACCCAGCTGGGAGCCTGTCAGCGCAGGCAACTAATGCGTTTTACCGAGAAGTGAGTGAATGAGTGTCCCCAGAGATACTGAACACCAGCGCCTTTTCCAGGGCTCCTATTCTGACTCAAAGGAGCGCAGTGACGGAGAGGGGTAACAGGTGTGAACGAGAGCACCGCGAAAAGAAACATCTGGCAAAAACATGGCACCCCCAATGCCGACGGGGATCCCAGCCATGCAGAGCGCTCTCGCACTAACTCCTGTTACACATTATTAGATCAGAAAGACTCACGCTCAGGCAGCCCCGGACTTCCTGCACACAGCCATCCAGTTGAGGTTTTATGAGCTGCAGGGGCTCTTGCACACCTGTTACTAAACATTTCACAGTCAGGGCCTTATTTATAATAAATGTGCACAAAGACCTCCAGCTAAATCCACACTAAATGCCTTTGTTTTTGTGCTTCAATGAGGCACTTTGTAAAAGAGCCTGTAGGTATAAAGAGTCAGAATGAAATGAATTGCATGTGCAAGGGAGTCTGATCTCCATTCCTTTAGAATTCCACAATTTCTCTTCTGTCCGTGGTAGTGTTGCAGTTTATTTGGAAAGACCACAGTTGGGAAGCTGAAGAATCTGGTTATAGGAGTCACATTCAAGACTGAGCTGAAACAATGCACATGGTCACGGATCTTATTACAAGTGTAGTACAGTATATTTATGTTCCATTTTTGATGTCTTTCCATGCCTTTTCACCGTTTACAGTGTAATGCTTTACCATGAACGTTTGTGTAGCGCCACACTTTTGCAATGGTTTTAACATTTCATGATGCTCTGCTTTGAAGAGCTTAAGGCCTGAGCATTCTGCAGGAAAATTCAAAAAGGGTGAGCTGACCACAGGGATTACGCTAGCCATGGGGAAAAGGAGGATGAAGATGGGAGGCTTCTGATGAAAAAGAAATGAGCCGGGTGGAGCGGGGACCCGATAAAATAGTTTAATCTGCTGATCAGAGGCAGCAGAAGCACCTGTCCAGTGGGAAGGCTTTGAAATGGGTTCAGCAGACCCCCACTCGGGTACCCAGCTCTGAGAACACATAAGCCATTAGCTAATAACCTAAGGACCCCTGCAGAGCAGGCAGTGGGAGTGGAGAGACAAGTTGCTGCCTGGACATCAAAAGGGATCCTCCTCATCAACATCAATGCAACAGGAAACCCATCTGAAATGTATATTGTACCTCTGATTACTTTACAACAATAAGCAAAGCCTTAAGACAAAGTGGAGCACACCACAGACAGGTCCTTCAGGGGTAAGAGGGGCTAAAGGCAGCATGTGGATTAGTCAAGGTCAGACAAGCCAAGCAGAGAAACACACTACAAGGAGTACCCTGATAGTGTAAGTATTAATCTTCTAATCAAATCTGCTGCACTAGCGCTGCCAAAGGTCACCCCCCAGCTACAGAAGAGTTTATGTTTGCTCCATTTTTCATATAATCTTAAGCAAAAAACAGGTAACCCCAAGAACATTTCAGGCAGCGCACATTCAAGTTTGGTCAGCGGAATGCCTGAGATATTTCCATTTTGTAATTCACAATGCAAAGTTCAAATTACAATACAATTAAAAAATCCAAATCAAAGAGGCATTTACCCTCAACCACCTACATTGTGGTTAGTTAACATTACAGGGCCCTGGTGCATGGGACCCTGATTTTAGTCAACTGGGTTTTGGTGATGAGACGCTATATGACTGTGCAGACGTACGTGTCATTTAAAAACACATGTTGGGTTACTGCAGATACATGGCAATTTTGTAAGCAACATTTATTATACTGCAGTTGCTTTCATTTCAACATTTCAGAACAATTCGATAAATACGCCTGATTAGCATCTACTATTGCAGTCGGCGTCTTAATTTTGAAGCTTTACACTTCAGCAGAGCCAAGATCTGTTCATCTTACATCTTTTCGGGGAGGAACCTGAATCAGGTGACAACAGCTCACAGCACAAACGGATACATTACAGAAATATCATGGCTGTTCATTAATTATGATTATCTCCCCAAATGTTACTACTAACATCATAATTTCGTTGCTGGGATCACAATTTGTAACAGAATGTTGTTAACCACAACAGACTGCAAATCAATATTAACTGAAACACTAGTTTCGTATCTCGCGTTTTAAAATGAAACCACAGCACTGGGTTACTTTAAAATGTAGCCTGTTCAGCAGTCAGTGGACAACCCCTCCTCCCCTCACTCCCCCCCCACTACTGGCAGTGCCACTTTCACCCCCACAGTCCGATGCAGCTACGATTGGAGTACATGTGCTTCTGAGCCAGTGAGGAGGTGACCTCTCTGTACACTAATTACTGGAAGTTCTGGTCACTGGGTGATTGATAGCGCTCTGCCAGGCTGACTCCCAGTCTCAGCCACAGAGATACGGTTATTAATGGAACCCCCAAACCCCTCCGCAGGCTGAGCCCCCCCCCACCGACCCCCCGCGCCCCTCAGCCACACGCTCTTCTTGCACACAGCTCATTGCCTGGTAGCAAGGAAACTGTAGGAGACTGGAAACATGGCCTGCCAGCCTCCCATCTGGGCCCGTGTCTGTCTGTCCTGCTGCAACACAATGGCAAGCATGCTGCCAGCCCAGGTTTGTTCTCGATACCCAGGGGAAAGATGGATCACTCCCGCTGCACAGCAGAATGAGCCAGAACAGGTTTTACACAAAGCTCTCGGCTGAACTGTACCACCGAATCAGAATAAGAAAATACAAAATATAACGATATTTTAATTCCATAGACCTGTTTTATGCAAACTGATCTCAAATGAAGGTAACAGGTCTGAAATATCCATCACCTGGTGCCGGCGTCCATTTGAAGTTGCAGTGGGCACAACCTGAAATGGGACCACCTGCTGTGCAATGGGGACCCTAAAGGGCTCCCTTGGGAAACTATGTGCAGCTGGCCACGGCTTCAAACCATTAACCAGGCCGGTCCATCCATTCGCAGACAAAACATCCTGATCAGCACCGTCTGGACACAGTCCTCTCAACCGGACACTGATTTTCTCCTTTCGGAGGACTCAGAACCTGAACAGCCCGATCCAGTTCTAGAGGGCTCTCCCTGTGTCCTCAAGGTCTCACTGGCCGCGTCACTGGCGGAAGGAACTCTGGTCTTCAAACCAGGTCCTGAACTAGGACTAACAAGTGAGCTTGAGCTTCCCAGCCCAGAAGGAAAACATGGGGTGTTCCTAACTGAGAATCAGGGACAGCTCAGAAAGTAATGACTTTACAGAATAGTTGGCATTCAAACACAATAAGCTGGGTGCTTCTGATTTCATTCCTGAAGTATTTCCTGTGATAGAAGAAGCATTACTCCTGGAGAACATGGCAGAGTCCAGGTCACTGCCCACAAGCCTGTGGAGCTCAGGTTATCCACTTGTCATGCATTTCGAATGTGTGTCAGAGCTGCACCAGGACAATGGCTGACATGGACTCTTCCTGATGTGTGTGTACCAAACTTAGCCACCCCGCATCGTCCCCCAGTCCCTTCTCTACCCCAGGACAGTTGGTGACAGAGCTTCTAATGACTGGAGTATCATCGAGAACGGGGGAGCAGGCTGCCAAGCCAAGAGGAGCCCCTTCATGTACAGAGCAGCACAGCAGCGTTAATGAATGGGTTCCCAAGTATGATGAACACATCGCTCAAGGTGAACTTCTGTTCTGCACTAGCCTGGAAAATTGTAATTAATCTCCACGTCTGGAAGAAACTGTAATTATAATTAGAAATTACATCTAGCCTGCTACTGTATGGATTACATACATATAATATACACTCATGACAGACATACGCACAGCCCTGACAGATTAAAATGAGCACCTGCTACATACAGTGGAATTGTCCAGCCCATCCTCAGCAAATCCCATACACAAAGTACCAGTGTCTTCCACAATCAGACATATTTTTGAGTCAGTCTAAGAGAGCAGGCACAGCTGTATTTCAGTTAGCGCTGTTTTTTGCTTGCTACTGTATTGTGTTATAGGTATATTATCTCCATGTTTAGACATGACTCAGGCTCTGTGTGTGTTTTACAAATCATCTGCTGCATCAGCTCACACAAAAGTGCCACTCTTTCCCAGCATCCTCTCCTTCGAAGGCAACAGCAATGCCAACGTCTCTGGGACTAACCCCCACTTTGCTTACCTTGGCCAGGTAGTTGGCCATCTCAGAACTCTGGGACCTCTGATCTCTGAAGAACATTTCTAACCCCCTTCCCCTTTAACTGCAGAATTACCTCCATGAAAGAGATCCCTAAACTCCACACATCCGAATGGATTCCGTACTGTTCCCCCGATATCCTTTCAGGCTGCAGAACAGAGAAACACAAAAAACACCTATAAACACCTAAAGGAATTTACACAACATGCTTACTACACCACCAAAAAACAGAACCTTAATCCCAGTGTATTTTCATTAAGAGGCCGTGTCACAATTTGTATTGTGTATCCCCTCTTTTGCTTGTCATGACATCAGAAACATAACAGAGGGGCTTAAAACCTTTTGTGCTTTTCAGAGAGATCTAATGTTTTTCAGACACTCTTGGGCAGGTCAGCCCCTTGATTCCTGCACTGGTTAAAAATCCACAACAGTCACAGCAGAAGTGACCTATTTTCAATGGCTCTTTTACTACAGTACTGAAGCTCCCCACGGGACTGGAGGGGGGTACGGGGAGGGGGGGGTGCGAGGCAGAGGCCGAAGGAGCTCAGCGGAGAGTGAAAGTGTATTTATGCCACACTCTTTCCTTTGTGATCCAGTATGAAAAGCAATGTTCAGCAGGAAGCCAGGATCTATTGTTTTACTTCGTTTAATCTTTAGGCCGCGATTATTTGCGGGCAGATAACCTCCGCGTATCAAGGAGAAAAGTAATTTCTCTAATGTACACATGGGAGTGGAGAGGCACAATCCTGTTTGGTACCATTTCAAAAGGAAAAATGTAATTTAATTTAAAAAACGAAACGCACAAAAAAAACCATAAAGCAACCAGGGGAGGTATTAATAGAGGATAAAGACGACAGAGAGCGTCTGATGTTAACTGGCTGTTTCATCTGCCTTGATCAGCCCTCACTGCGGCAGTGTGATTTTCCTAATGGCCCGGGGCTGGGACTGGGGATGCGGGATTAGTGGACAGACGCGTTCCCGGGACACTCGAGCCTACTTACAGCCATGTACGCGTTTGTTCCCACGTATGTTTTCGCAATGGAGTTGACCAGCTGCAAAAGAACAAAACAAAAGGATCAGCATCTGAGGAGCAACTGAAGGAGGCATAGCGAGGACAACCCGGCACACTTCCTGGCGCACAGGAACCCGGTCCTGGTGCTGGTTCTGCCAGCGGCGGGGTCTCGGGTCCGTCGAGGAGCGGCGGCAGAGCAGGTGCCGGAGTGCTCAAACTTGGCGACACCCTTGACCTTTGAGAAGTTCCCGCTGGTCTTGCGCGCCGCCAACAGGAACGTCAGCGAGAGGGTCGGGCTGAAGCGGTCGGTTCCTGGAGCCCTCTGAAGTGCGAGACCCAGGGAGAAGAGGGGACACGGGAGAGGGGGGGAGGGGACGACGAGCCCTGATAACATCTACCACTCTGCTGACCTCCCGCTGCCGGGCGAGGAGAGGAGAGAGTCATTCAAATCATCGTGACGGCGTGATCTGGGGGGTCACTATTAGAGGGGGTCTCCAGGGTTGGGCCGGGGGTGGGGGGGGGGGAGTGGGGATGGAAATTAATTAAAATTGGTTTCTGCCGTGCAGTGAGTGGCACGCGCCTATTGTTGCCCTCTGCATTCATTCTTCTGGCAGGCCTGCCGGGGTCCCCGAGCTCAGGCTCCCAGTACGCCCGGCCTATTGTCTGAAGGAGAAACCGCTTCTCCAGTCAAAGGCGCATATCAATGAACTGCACTGTTTGTTGAGTAGTAATTACAATATCAGCAATTTTTGCTGTCGTTTAAACAATGCGCAATCATATTCCGAGGAAGGGAGGTGACCTGGGGGAGAGCGCAGATGAACGCGAGCCGGTCTCCAGGGCGCGCACACCGGCGCCGATGCCATTTGAATGGGAGCCAGCAGCCGAGAATTGAGACGTGGAGCACGGGCATC